GCTCAGTAAAAGGCATCCAACTATTTTCATTTCTCCATTAAAAAGACAAATGAGTTTAAATAAAACATTTTTCAGATGTATAGTTCCTAAACCTTCCCTCTGTTCTGATTTAGACCTGTTTAGAAAATGTGCAGTTCTGAGTGTTATTTCAGAGATCTGCAAAACTTTTATAAACCAGAAAGTGCATTATGTCTGCCTATTCATACGCTGTATCAAGGTTATTTGCAATATTTACAGTGCTATCATTTTCTATGACCCTGTAAAAAAGATATGAAGTTAAATGAGTGTAGGAAAGGAGGCACATGGTCTGCATAGCTGATCACAAATAAGTGCTCTTACTCCTGTTGCTCTGCAGAAGCACAGGGAAGCTAGTATTAGTAGAGCAGTGTTTTTTTAACCTTTCCTGCCAGTGATATCACTAATTCTAAACCTGGAAAGAATTATTTAATTCAGACAGGTATATCCGAAATTCCCTTCTTGCAGTTCCAGCTAACATCTGACATCAAAACAATAGTTTACACAGATTCATTAATTACAAGTGATGTCACCAGAATATTAGATAAATTGCAATATACTTCTTGATTTTTTGAGATGCAGAAGCTAATATTGTTGCCTTGCTTTGATAATGAAAGAAATCTGGATGAGAAACACTCAGGTTCATATCAGGCCTAGAATAATGGAAGAAATTACCCAAAGAAGGAAAAAATGGTGGTGGGTATAAAACATTAAAATGTGCTTCACTTGTTAACATGAAGATGGATTTATTATTAAGCAAACCAAGAAGAATAGAAGAAAGAAAATAAGTATTTGAAGAAAACAAGAGATGAGAGTAAGTAGAAAAAAATAACAGTGGAGAACAGATACATCCAATTGTAAAAGTCCAAGTATTTTTCCTAAAGCTAAATGCATGTCTGTTCTTGATGCAGTGGTTGCAATGAAATCAGGATATTTAGATTAGTGGATAAAGGGATCCATCATAGTGACACAGCTAATCAGTTCATTTCAGCAAAAGTAGAAAATCCCCCAAATACTTCTTTCCAACTCTGGCCTTAAAACATAATATGAACAATTTAAAAACCAATAATTTGCACTCCTGCCTAACAATCTGACACTCCTGTCTGAGTTATCTTCTAATGGTAGGATTGGACCTGCTCCTCACCCAGTCAAGACATACACGAATTGCACCGAGGGTGAAATGCTAAAGGAAGTCTGCCATCTCTTTTGCCAGTTGTTATCCACCTCAGTCTTTCTAAATCAGTAATGTATTATCTTCCTCGTATGAAAAGAATTAGTGGAACCTGATTTACATTTAATTCCCTGAATTGATTCTCAGTATAGAGGAACTTATTTGGAGCTAATATATGGTTCAGACATAAATAAACATGCCCTTGACTATAATCCAAGAAATACTATTTTGTTCATTCTAATTTCTGAAGTGGTATTCCATCCATGACACTCACTGCAATTCATATCAGTCATAGTACTGCAATATTAAAAAATACAGTATGAAATTAAGTATCAGTGTCAATTAAAACATCTCAAAAAGATTAAAACAAATATATCATGCATAACACAGTTTAGCCATCCTCATTCTCCAGATTTTATTGGTCTCATTAAAAATAATCTCACCTGACAACGGAGCTCAGGCGGGTCTTCCTTGAGAGGAAGGTCCTAGAAAAATCACTGTCAGTAAGGTCTGACTATGTATCCTATGTATCTTGTGATACAGAACTGTCTGCCAGCCATGAAGGTTGTTAAATTAGTGTCTATAAGGAAGGACCTTACATGTACCTAAAGCATATTGGGCCTAAAGACACTAGAAAACCAGCTCAGATAAAGTTCATTTTTGTCTAACGATGCAACTTAACAATTGAGAATTGGGAAAAAGGAATTTCCTCCCAATAATTTACAGTGTTAGCACAAAATAAAGCATTAACTGGAAGGCCTCTCAGAAGCCAATACAAATGTTCTGGGATTACCACTTATCTTCTGGATCACAGTCCTCATGGTTGTAAATCTACAGTCCTCAGGCATAATGACAAAAATATGACCACCACAGACTTCTGCCATGCTTCATGCTCCTATGATTGGGCAAGCTCCCCCCCCCCCCGCATTGCAGACACAGCAACCCACACCATGCTCTAGAAATTCCAAATATGCCCATTGGCCAAAATAGTTGCAGAGCTTTATCATGAGTGATAGGGAATAACACTCCCCCCAAAAAATCAAGTGTTAATATAATGTAATTGCTATGAGTGAAAAAAAGGGCACGAGGTATAATCTGATTTCAGATGTAAGCCAATATCAATTCAATGTTACCTATGACCTTCAAGGATAGGATTCTTCCCTCCCCCTCCATTTTCCATTCTTGTATATTGCAGTGCACACTTGATGTCTTGTTACCAGGTAGATTGACAAATTGAAGGAAGTTCAGCAAAGAGCAACCAAATGATTAAAGAGCTCGAGAGGGGATGATTTATTGTGCATAATTTAAGTAAACAGTTTTATAGCTTGGTTAAGCATTGAATTGGGGGATGCTACAGGAAGATGAGATCCCAAAATGTATTGGGCAGAAGGGTGGCAGAATATATGCAAATATCTGAGGAATGCAATTGTAAATAAGAGGAAATTGTTGTAGTCCTCACATAGTTATTCTAATAAAAAATGCTAATGCCATACTGATACTTAAGGGGGAAACCCTCATGAAATAATGTGTGATATCTAGAATATAACTCTTAATATGGCTTAGCCAGCTATGATTAGCCTGTAAAGTCAGAAGCATGTCATTCATCTTTAAACAATTTCTTAATGAAGTAATTCCTTTACAAGAAACAAGGTAGAAGGAGCCATAGCTCAATAACAGAGAATCTGTTTTGCGTGCAGAAGATCACAGCTTTAACTGTTTCAGTCCTATTAATGCCTGAAAGCTCTATATATTCTATTACCATAACTGCAATGAAATATGGAATAACATATGCTAACATAGTTATGCATTTCTTACATAAAAGAAGTAGAGTAGATCCATCCTGTTGTGCAACTACATCACAAGATTTTCCCACAATGTATCAAGAATGTATAATTTTGCCTATGCAAGCTACCTCAATCTCTGAGCAACTTAACTGCTTCTACTAAGATGCCATATAAGTGACTCCTATGTCATGTGGCCTCTTAAGTCCAGATTACCATGTCATATACTAAGATCACACTAAACTGATTTAAATGCAGGATCAGCTCAAACTGCTAACAGCAGAGCACAGGTCACAATTCTGAACTGATTTTCTAGCAGAAGTATTCATCATTTGAAATTTTAAGTAAATTTTAAGCAGTTGTAGAAGAGTAGATCTAGTTAACCACTAGCCAGATACACATCTTAAATGTCAGATCAGTCTTTAAACTGCAAGTGGAATCATGTAATTGAATGCAGTCTAAAGTTCCCAGCAATATGTAGTGTGTGTGCGTGTGTGTGTGTGTGTGTGTGAAGGAGTATATTTGGTTTTTATTTATTTTGTATAAAGGAACTTTAAATCAGAAGAGGCCCTACTTAAAATATGAAGTGACACAATCCAGTTACATCAACAGAAACAGCTTCATTTTATACAATCTTCATAATATCCAGCTATGTGAGATATTGTAATCCTTTAAATAGTTAGTTTAAACTATTTTAAATAGTTAGTTAAGCAATGTAAGTAGAGAATTCAAATGTTGAATGCCCTTAAGTGTTAAAAAGTCATAATATCATGAAATCTGAAACCCGGTTCAAAAGGTAATGGAGCTGGTCCTTTTTGTTCATCGACCATTATTCAATATAGCAACTACGGTGCTGTATGAAAACTGTAACCTCTGGCTATACTAGTTATTTGATGTTTGGTTATTTATAAACACCTCTATATCTGAATGAACCATTATTTCCACTGTGAAGAACTACAATAAACTTGTATGTTCATGAACATTTATGTTAGTTTTTTTTTAATATAACACATCTCTCCAGAGGAAATTAAGAACTAAAACTAGTTGGAAATAATGACTTATTCTTTTCTTCAGTAAATGTTTTTACAAAATGAATTAAAAATACAGTATTTAAGGGGGAAATCTAGTGAAGATCCAAAGTACTGAGTAACCAGTTCTTTACTTCTAAGGGTGCTTTAGGCATGGTTTCCTATCACAGTCAGTAGACCTCACTTCTCTTAGGTGCTCTTTGAATGTGTGGGTCTAGAAAGGGTTCCCAGTTCTAAGACTTCAGTACATTACTTCCAGTACCATCAGCATTTTATTCCCATTGCAACTGGGTGTGTGAGCTCTGGAAGTGAAGAGCGCCATCTAGCTGCAGTACCAGCCTTTCTTAATGTCAAGACAACTAACATGAAGGACCAGTCACAACTCTCCATCTTATGAGGGTTTATTCTTCAAGCTGATTCAACTACTCTGACTGCTACTTTACTGTGAATGCCCCCTAGCTTTCCTGATCCTTTCTTACTGCCTTGATCCTGATTCATACTTATGTTGGACAACATGCCTGCCTTTTATTCCATTTGGATTAATAGCCAGTCACTTGAGAACTTGCAGTTAGAGAAATTGTCATGCATCCTGAATCCTGATGAAGTCTTATAGAAAACTATTACTCATTTCAACATTTTGTTAATTTCAGCATGCAAAAACAATTACATCCTCTTATATGAAATGTCTAACTAATAAAATATAGAACAATTAATGCAGACTTAGACTCATGCACACAAGAAAGCACACCAACTCAGCATTATCTTCTAGTTTTGGGATGAATCAGTTACAAGACAGTCCTTTAAAACAACCTTTCTGAAACTGGTACCTTCTAAATGTGTTGGACTACAATAATCCAGCAGCCCACATTATCAACTTAATTGGCATCAAATGGGAGAAGGCTTGTCTTACAGAGTATATTACTCTTTCCAAAGAAAGCAAAATATGTTGAACAGAAAATTAGTGACTATTAGTGACATGCAATGATTGAATTGCAATATGATTACCTGTATCCTGTCTTCAGGAAGTTCTGTTTTCATAGCCAGCATTTCCCTTGCATAAACATCAGGATAATGGGCCTCATTGAATGCTTTTTCCAGTTCCTCCAGCTGGTAGGATGTGAAGATTGTCCTAAATGGAATAAAATTCACTGATGAAAAAAATAAAAACAAAAAATAAAAAAAACGAAAAATGAAAAAATCCTTAAAAAGCACAGCATCAAAGGAAAAATTAAGAAAATGAATGCATTATACAAAAGAATTGTTCTTAGGTTGAAGAATACCAAGAAAACTATATTGGGTCTTCCCATTCACTGTAAAGGAAAAACTAAGGGCATAGAGGATTACCAGTGAAACAAATGGGCTTAGATTGTACACTTTTGTGTACTAAAGTATATTAACATTAAAGTGGAGAGGGTAGCAAAGCTGTAATCATTGTGGAGTGTTGTTTATGAAGCAAAGGGAGAAAGGAAGATGGGCATCTCATAATTGTAGTGATTTACTAAATTAATAACCTTTTACCAGATTCTTTCATTAATAGTCAATAAAGCTATCATTAAAAAAGCTACTTCTAGCGGAAATTATTCAGGCTTTTCCAGCAAAAACTTGGGAAGAGAGAGGAGACATACATACATTCACCATCATACTATCCCATACTATCTCTAATAATTCAGAGTAGCTATCATTTATAGCATGAGTTACTTCATATCATTTCTCTTCCTATGCACTCTTCTCTGAGATAGTAAATAGAATTTGTTTTTGCTCGTGTATGCTGTGATCCTAAACATTCCAATATGAATGTTAGTGAGTTTGCATCCAAATAAATGTATTTTAGTCTAAATTTAGAAATTAAATTTGATATCTATATGTAATATGTACAGTGTCACGAAATATGAAAGCTATTCCTTTTTGGTCTTTAGATTTCTTACTAATTGGCCCATCTTTGTTTTCTGCAAACAATAATTTGGCATATTATTGAAAATAAGGGGCACCAGTTTGTCAATTTAGTTCCAAGTACTACAGAAGCAGCTGAATTAATAATAGGTATGGGTTAAAAATGACTTCCAAATTAGTATTATTTCTTTCTGTGAAATATAGCATTAACACTTATTAAGTGTTTCATAGGGCTGCAACAAAACTTAACAAAAAGATTCCACACTGGCAATTTAGCTCATGCAACTCCATCACTATGGGTCCAGCTAAGCAGCTTTAAATTCTGTGAAACTGAGAAATGTAGACTTTCCTTATCTGTAATCAGATACCAAACAACAGATTTTATGGCAACATTTAAGTTTTCAAGAACAAAGCCCATCTATTCTTATTTTTCTGCTTTCATTGTTGCAAAATATTGCTTACATTAATGTTTTCAAAGGATATATTTCACTTCCAATTCTTAGTAAGCACAGTAGAGTAACCAGTGTGGTACTGATGGAGTAACATCATCCTCATTATCTCCTTTCCTAACATTTGCTAATCTTTTGTTTTAAAGGATATACTCCAAACACTTTGGAGCATCTATCTTCAGGAATTTAGCTTAGTTTTTCATCCTGTGGCTCTATCACTTCAAAACAAGTAATTTCATAGTAAAGATATGCTTCTTCCAAATCTGGATAGCCCAAATAAGAAATTCCTCCTCACTTTAGGCAACAAAAATTAGCACCTGGAATTGAAAAGAAATGGAAGCACAACTCCAGAAGGTGACGAGAGATACCTGCAGAGGAGAAAATGTGTGGATCATGTTGTGCTCTAAATCTGAATGAACATCCAGACCAATTTCTGAAGCATGGAAAATTCCCTGGTTATGTGATTAATGTACCTTGGAAGCCAACTGCATTTCGATATTTTTCATCCCAGTCTAAAAGCATATCTGCATGTGCACGAGCACACACATACAAGCATATAAACAAATTGAAAATAATATGAAATCAACCTTCCCAGAAAAAAAAACCTGCTTCAAAAAGAAGAAAGAAAAATCAAAGCCAAGATTCTAAATGTAAAACATTGATTTTTAAATATTTACATAATGTATTTCCCAAGAGGGGAGCCAAGACATACTTGAATTACCTACTAGCATGTAAATGTTAAACATTTCTATCAGCTTAATAATAGTAACAATATGAGGGGCTCCTTCTGCCATCAAACCTGTGTTTTGGTGTCTCCCATCCTAAGGTCTCTCCTCTGGCTCTCCCAAAATTATCGCCTATATAAATGGAGCAAGCTTGTGCAACCCCTCACTGCCTTTCTCTCAAAACAAATAGCTTCTGTTATTGTATATTATTTTAGGGACAGGGAATAGTGGCAGGATTTTTATTTTTAATTTGTCTACTCCTTTTGAGGGGAGATAGAATTCCTGTCAAAAATAACAAGCAAAATTCACCCTTTTGAAATGTAGCCTTAAAATTTGTTTGTAACAGATTCTTTCAGATTCTGTGTATAAAATAGTAGTAATAGCTGATTTTCCCCTTCTTGCTCAGGATATAGAGAGATGTAGTTCCTCTCCACTGTGCTACTACTTTTTGGACAGATATTTCCTGAAGGCATTTTTTTTAAATTAATACAAACATGAAATTATTAACATATTCAACACTAAATTTCTCAGATTTCTGAACCAGTTCATTCCAGATTCAAATATAAAATGCACCAGAATTCTAATCTTGATCTACTACATAGCAAGCCCTTCTCTTTATATTGGCCCAATCCATCTGAAAAGTTCTTCCCCCATTTGTTCATACATCAATTAAAGTGTGAGAATCATTCGTTGCCATTTCAATTGTTATAATTCCCAAAGAAAATGAACCATTCTGTTTTTCTTTTTTCATTACAGCCAGCCTTGCATGGGGACATTTAACATAATACAGATATTCTGCCTGTTAGCAAAATTAATCTTACTCTTCCCAGATCATGTCCAGGTGGACTTGCTGCTGAATACACAAAACAGGACTAACTTGCAAAACGGGCTGCCACTGATTTTCGTTCTGTTGATTACTTTGGGAAAAAGAGAGCAAGATGGCGGGGCCCTTGTTGGAGCCTCAGTAAGAAAGGAGAGCAGGCTTCTCCTTGGGTGATCCCCCACCTTCACTGTTAAGTGGTGTGCTTTTCAGTCTCCAAACTGTTCTGGAACATTTTCGGGTAGTTTTTCTCCCATCAAGAATTCTCCAGATGTGTTGGACTACAATACCCATCACCCCAGACATTGTATTTTATTGCTAATCACAAAAAAAGCATCAGCATCCTTGTCAGGTGGGAAAGAGGAATTAAATTTATTTCACACACAAACGAAAATCTTGATAAACCAGTGATCCCTTGTTGACAAACCGAGCATCTATAGAAAATTAAACACGAATTAAAAGCTAATCTGGTTGGGTAAAACAGTAGTTTGATTTTTAAACTGCTCTAGCAATTTTAAATAAATACTAATTTCTTTGATTTATTCACAGCCTTAATAGCTGTATCGAAAGAAAAGTGTATCAGGACCCTTTGGACAGCTCCCTCTGGAAGAAAAGTGCTGGAGATCAGTGAGAAGTAGGAAAATCCCCTTTGAGATTTTTGGATTTGATGGTTCAACAAATAAAAGTTAGAAGAACACAATACAGAGCTTGACATGGAGAAAACCTAGCCCCTAATACAGTATCTGTCTTCTTTGGAATTGTGCTTCCGAGGAAAACCTGAAGACCAAGGGATCCATTCAGAATCTATTGACAGAGGATGTGACGCTACTTGCACAAGATTTCTAGCACACCGCTCTCCCGCCCTCCCCACCGCCCCCACCGTCACCAGCACCACCGCCGACGAGAGGCCTGATCCTAAGGGGGTGCGGGGCGGGCGAGACCCAGAGTTCACAAGGCCCAAAGGCAGAGATTCAGATGGCCTGCCGGCCAAACCACGGCGGGCGCGCAGGGTGGGCAGCAAGTCCAGGATGGGCAATAGTCCTCCTACCCCAGACTGGTTCCCTCCCGGCCTTGAAAACAAGGTTCCCTTACCTGTGCCGTCTCTTCTTCCTCTTCTTACTCTGGTTTAAGGTCGATTTCGACATTTTTCTGTCGCTGGAGGAAACATCTTCGGAATCTGAAGACAGAAAGGCAGGAGCGATGGAGAGGGCTGCTGCCTTGGGGGGGGGGTCTCCCCGCCCGCTCCGCAGAACACGTCAGGCTGTCACCCGCCGGCCTTGTCCGAACTTTTCGGATCGGGGCTTTTGTGGGGAGGGTTCGTTTGATTGGATTTCGCTTCCTGGGGGCGCCCCGTAAACCCTTCCAGCCGGGAGATGCCTTGCTCTCTTCAAGCTACTTTTCCAAGTCTTTTCTCCCTCCTGGGCCTGGGTCCTAGTTTTCTTTTCAAATCAGACCATACTCCCACACTGAGATTTCGTTTGTCAATCGTTACAAATTTTAAAATATTAAAACAAAAAACGAAAGACTGAGTGAGGCAGGAAAACAAAAGTTATGTAGAAGAGGGGAACCTTTTACACTCGATAGGCAGGAAACAGAATCTTTCAAGGAATCTTTTTTATTCTTCTAATCTTCCCTGTATTTATAGGACGGGGAAAGAAAACCCTGCACTTTGGATAAAGGGAACTGAGTAAAGCAGCAGGGCATTTTCTTGTTAGGATCCCTAAAATAACCACGCGCCTCTCTCTCCTCTTTAATAATCTCCCAGAGCTTCGTGTTACAGTATTTTTAATGCATACCGTTACTCCGTTTCTCTTTACATTGTTCTGGTTTAAAGTTTAAAACATCGAATTATTCATGCTTATTGCTCTAGTGCCCATCACGATAAATGGGACTTTTTGTGTAACTCAAGCCGCACCGCGGCTTTATTTTTGTCCAGAAACGGACGAAGAGTGTTTTGAGAGATGTTTGGCTCCTGCACCACTACTTCTCACCGCTTTATCTCTCGGTATTATTAATTTTGATTGTGATACACTGTGTGACTGCAAGGCACTTAGCCGAAAATTGCTCACGTCTGACAAAAACGGGAACGTCTGAAATGAGGTCGAGCTGGCTCAAAAACGCATCCCTGGCATCGGGGAGACTCTTAAGCCCCGCCGGATAGGCTGGGACGCGGCCATCGCCCCTTCGGGATCAGCTGCGACAGAAATGTGGTGGCCCAGCAGGTCTGGAGTGGTTCGCAGCACCTTGCCAAGGGACAGAGATCTCTCACCTCCCGGGATAGCGGCTCCCAGCTGTCCCCTTCCTCCCGGGCCCAGGGCCCTCCTCCCCACTGCTCTGCGCCGCCACAAGAGCGCTACCTGAGCTGGCCGTCTGGCTGGTGTCTAGCTGCGCGGGAGCTCTGCCCAGCGGCTGCAGGTGGACGCTGGGCGGGTCGGCCAATACCTCCAGGAAAGTGGGCTGCGCGTAGAACCCGGGGATGCTGCCGGTGCTCAGCAAGCCCATGCCCACGCCGCCCACCCCGGCCGGGCTGAGGACGGAGCGGGCCGCCAGCAGATGTCCGGCGGGTAAGGAGTCCAGGGCTGCGCGAGGTTGCGAAGGCGGCTCCTTGTTCAAGCCCAAGATTTCCTGGATGCCGAAGCCGGTGCAGCGTGGTGCTGTAGGGCCCGAGATAGGCTTGGCCCCCGCGGCTGAGCCCCCTACCACACCCCCTGCCCCATTA